CCCATGCACCCTCCAGGACCCTGCTGAGGGTGTAGAGCTGGTCCAGTGTTCCACGACCTGGACGACCCTAGTACCCGAAATTAACCATTAACCCTGATACCTAAAATAAACCATTTTTATAAAATGTAGGAAATTCACGTCAACCAAGTGTTCCAAAGCCTAAAATTACCTAATATTCGCTGTAGACATCCTATCCCTGACCCCAGTACCTAAACTTAACCATTTATCCTGATCCCTTATGTTAACCTCAGACCCCCGACCCAAAGACCCCTGTTGGCGCAACCCAGAAAAGCCGCGGGCGGCAAGGACTAACACGAGGGGGTCACCCAACGTATCAAAATAAGATGCAGAGGGCACTTTGGAAAAGCGTCAATATGTTGACGAGTTAGGAGTGAGAATGTGTTATGTATGGATATGGGTTTTATTATAGTACTTACTGTGTCTTCGCTTGTCTTGTTTTTGTTTTTGTTTTTATTATCTTGAATGTATGTTTTTAACATGGAGCCCTGTTAAAGTCTATTTTCTGTCACCCTTGGGACAGACATTAAAGTTTATCGATCAATCTAAAGCTGAGGTTCTCCTTCCATGAGGCAGCTCTGTTATCCTCCATCTGTGTTTTCAGTTGCAGGCTGACTCATGTCTACATTCTCCTCTCTGACAAGGCGCTCTGGTTTCATTTAAAAGGCTGATCGTCAGATACTGTTCAAATTAACCTCCAGGGTAGAGAAGAGCTCACAGCCTCGCATACTTTATCATTTACCCAGTATGCTTTGTGGCGTTAATAAACTGGCTCTGCCTTTGTGACAATATTTTTTTTGAATTGATAAAACTAAACAGTATACAGTATTTTAGGTTTAATGTTACAACTAGTCTGGGTTTGTTTTGAGCAGATGGTATCTAGCTTTTTCCCGTTTTGTTATTACTGACAAAAAATAATTAAAGTTTTTGCATCATTGTATTCTCTATAATTGTTTTTTTTTTCTCTGTTTTAGTCACGATACACACAGGAGTTATTACTTGACAGAATAATTATTGTTTTGGACGACAAAGGTGGTCTGATAATTTTTCTATTACTATATTTCGAGTGACAAACAAAATCTAAAATAAAAATACTGAAACATTTAATCAGCCTATTTCATGAACTGCTCTGGCAGAAGCTGCCTTTAAGGTTTACATCTGCTACATTCTCTGTACATATTTTTCTTCTGAGGATTTATGTTTTTATGTTTTCTTCAAGTGCTTCTAATTTTTCCTCTAGTTTTTCTCCCAATTTGTCTTTTGAGTGTTTTTTATTTACTAATGCTGTATTTGAATAATTTTAATTTTAGTATTTTTAACTTCAATTGAGGGTAAAATTTAAGCTGGGAGTATCCACAAAATGTCATTATAGTTTTATAATAATGAAGATTTTTGTCATCATGCATTATGGTCGTCTTTTGTGTCAACAGCTGCTAGAGAAGAGGCAGAGCATTCTGGTAGGAGAAGAGGCTGCGTTTTGGGAAGGTGTCACCATTGATCTGATGTCTGATGAGGAGGATGGCATCTTTGAAGGGGAGTCAGGGTGGATTGTGAGACCCCCAAGTTTCCGCAGCCAGGAGCTCAGTGACCTCTGTTCCACACTACAAATGAGACTTGAGGCCAATCCTAAATACAGTGCAATGCATCACAAGCGTTTGTACGTTGGGCCATGTTCAGACAGAAAGCCACCACCACATGGTTCAAAAGTGGACAAGCATTATATTTCCTAATATTGTTTGAATACATTTTGCCTTCTAACAATAAAAATAATTAAAAGTAAATCAAACGTGTGCCTCAGAATTTGTTTCTTATAAATTAGTCTCTTTTAATTAAATTAGGTTATTAGCATGGCATGAATACAATATTTAACCTACAAACTGTACCACATTAATACACTGTAAAAGGTGTTCCCAGGCCAGCCAAAAAACAGTCCCTTCAGTGTATCCTGGGTCGTCCTCTGGGTCTCCTCCCAATGGGACATGCCCGGAACACCTCACCACAGAGGAGTCCAGGAGGCATCCTAACCAGAAGCCCGAGCCACCTCAACTGCCTCCTCTCGATGTGGAGGAGCAGCAGCAGCTCTACTCTGAGTCCCTCCCAGATGACCAACAAAACAGATCCCCTCAACACTTTGGCTGTGTCTAGAAATTATTTTCATAAAAGTTATGAACAGAATCGGTGACAAAGGTAACGTTGGCAGAGTCCCAACTCTCACTGGAAACGAGCCCGACTTACTGACGGCAATAAGCTCTGGCACTGGTTGTGCAGGTACCTAACAGCCATTAAAGGACCTGGGGTCGGATTTATAAAACTGGCGTACGCACAATTTGAGCCCAGAAATTTGCGTACGCCACTTTTTATGCCAAGGTTGTGATTTATAAAATCCAAACTTGACGTGAAAATGTGCGGTGCCTCACGCCAGCTCTGACCCATGCGTACGCTCATTTTGGAGACATGAAACTGCGACACAGAGGGTGAAGTGAGGAATTAGAGCCACACTGTGTAATGATCACTGTCAGATATTTAATTTCACTTAATCAGACTGAGATTTTTTTTCAACTTTATCATCAGCTTTAATAACAGTAATATTAATGCTTCTGCTGCCGAGCCATAAGGACCTTTGAAATAAAAAAAACTTAAATCTTAAATAAAAGTTCCCGTGCGCAACTCCCTTCATCTGCTTCCTCCTCAGACGACCCTGACCCACAGACCCCTCCCTGACCCACAGACCCCTCCCCGAGCAGGACAGCAAAAGTCACGCTTTGGATACATGCGCAGGGCGCATCCACCTCACCATGTGAATGTTATAAAACTTAACGTTTAAAGTCCGTATTTGTCACGGGGGGGATGCGTGCATGTATGTGTGTGCGTGCGGGGCGGGGGTGTCTGCCGCAGATAACAGAGCAGGCAGGAGGGGGAGAGGACGAGGAGAAGAGGGGTGGGCTTACTTTTAATTTTATCTGACTTATTTAATTAAATTTTTATTGTTTTTATCGTCCTGCAGGCTCTGGGAGAAAATTAATTTGAAGCTGAGATTTTTTTTTATAAAAATCGTTAGATTACTCTAAAGCAAAATGAGGGAAAATCTGTGTCAATTACAGACATTCTGTTCACGTGAGCAGCTGTCAATCAGCACCTGTCAACCTCCAGACGCACGACGGAGCGTTTCTGAGCCAATCTATTTTTTTTTACATTGATCAGCTGACTGATTTAAATACATCTTAACATTCATGAGGTACTTTGCATTGACTGTTTATGGTTGAATGTRGGCGTGTRGAGGGTAGAACCTGAGGCGGGACCTTGTGCGCAAACTCTGACGTGCGGCTGTGATTTATGAAGGAAAGATGCGCAGAAACATGCGTACGCACTGTTTTATAAATCTGAATTTTTTTTTGGCATACGCCATTTCCGCCTTTTGGCCGTACGTTCACTTTTAGTATGGTTTCCACGCAATCCTTTATAAATGAGACCCCTGGTACCCCATTCTCCCAGAGTTCCCCCACAGGACTCCCAGAGGGACACGGTCGAACACCTCCTAGTCTTCAAAACACATGTAAATTGGTTGAGAGACCTCTCGTTCACCCTCCAGGACTCTGCTGAGGGTGCAGAGCTGGTCCAGTGTTCCATGACCAGCACAAAAACCACACTACTCTTGCTGAATCTAAGATTCAATTTTAAGGCGGACCCTCCTCTTAAGGACCCCTGAATAGACCTTACCAGGTAGGCTTAGGAGTGTGATCCCCCTGTAGATGGAAAAAAACTCTGTAAAAATGCAAAAAGACATTGAAACCCACAGAAGACAAGTGATGGACAATGGCAGAATCATTTCCATGGTGAAAAGAAACCTTCAAAACAGCAAACCAAGTGAACAACACTTTGGTGAAGGCGTGGTACAGCTCACGATCCAATGCATGCCACATCATCTGTAAAACACAGAGGACACAGTGTGGTACACATGGCACTGAGTCACTAGTGTTTATCAATGATGTGAAACAGGATGGAAGATATATCAGAACTGTGCTCAAATCCATACAAATGCAACCGAACTGATTGGTTGTTGTTTCATACTACAGATGGACAATGACCCAAAACATAAAGCCTAAGCAACCCAGGAGTTTATTAAAGCAAAGAAGTGGAATATTCTTGAATGGCCAAGTCAGTCACCTGATCTCAACCCAATTGAGCATTTCAATTGTTAAGGACTAAACTTCAGACAGAAAGGCCCACAAACAAACAGCAACTGAAAACCGCAGCAGTGAAGGCCTGGCAGAGCATTAAAGTGTATCCTTCCCCACCTGTGAAAAGATAACTCCGCCCCAAGACGAAATTTGAAAAATGCATCAAAGTGGGTAGGGGAGGGGGGGGGGGGGGGGGGGGG